CCTGGCTTCATGTATGTTTTATTGGCTTCCGATTTCAGATCCGCTTCCTCATTGAGTATTCACCATTGAGGCCGGGTGAGCCAAAAGCCCTGACCTCGCCATCAACCAGGCAGAGAAGAAAACAGTCAACTAAAGACACATCACTACCAGATAGTTCAACTTTGGACAAGGGAACAGACGCTATCTTGAACGATTTGAACAGTTTCATTTCTACTTTTACTAGGCGCCTGATTTTGCGCATCGGACCCAAGGCAGAATGTGAGTTCATACATTCCTTCATTGCCATATCTCTTTCTTTTTCTGCATCGTTGTCATGCTGTGTTAGACTTTCCATCACCAATCATGATTCACACGCATTGATCCGTACTTTGTTCTTGACAAAAGTGGGTCAAACAACTCAATTTTGTAAACGTTGATTTTCAAGGAATTGTTTAGCTTTCTATTTGCCAACACGAACCACAGCTCAGGCGCATTCTAAACATTCCGTCTCTGAGAAACAGCTTGTATTATTTGTGAAGTTAATAGTTTTGCTTGCGTTTCTGACAAAGTTCTGTATGCCCCTAGACCCCGGTATTTCATATAGTACTTACGCACACCGTGTGTAACTCTTTATTTACCTTTATACCCTATGATACACGTGTTTATGGGAGCTTCGGTGTTTTTTCTCCTTAATCTTCCCATGTGTATAGCTACAAGCCGAGCGGACACCACGGAGTATGCGATGAAATTGAATCGTTCATTGTCGCATTTCCTGTTCGACTTGATGACCTTGACCCCGGGGAAGTTTATCCTGTCCGCCATTGTTGCCCATCACCGTGCTGTAAGTCGTTGGTTTGGTGTGCAGATCCACTTTCCCACTCATCATCGTGCACATGCTTATCTGCCAACGTATATATCATACACAGTCAGCGTGTCATTACTGCAAAAGCCTTGGAAGCTTCTTTCAGCTGTTTCAGGAATCAGCAGCAGCAGCAATGTGCATATCCACCGAATCCCAATGTGATTCGAACCCGCGCACGATAAGCTGTTGATCGGATGAGCCAATAACTATTTGAGTTATCCGAACTGGCCTTCAGCAGCTCACTGCACATCATCTTCCACGCCGGGGTTCGAATCCCATAAAATTTGGCAAATGTACCCTACTGACGCTTACTATCTTGCTAGATTTAACAACTTTGTTAGTGATAAATAAATAAAACGTTGACTCTGTGTGCTTATAAGTTGTAGGTCAATCGAGCGGTAGATAATTTACCAATCATGTTGTTTGTTACCATTTAACAGAAAAAATATTACGCCAATTTTTGTTTTCCGATATATTGGTTCTTTTTCGAGCTGAAAAGGTTTTTGTTACCTCGGGACTAGTAGCTTAGTTTAACCGCACTAAATTGCTAATCAGATGTGTACCATGTTGCTGGGAAGAGTTCTTTCTTCTGTCTCTCATAATTTAAGGACTGCTCCATCGTTGCGTGACTCTGAGTAGATTTGCAACTGGTCTCATCATTGCTGGACGTGGGGAGATAGAGAGAAATGGAGAACGTTTGTGTGTGTGTGTGTGGCTTACAATCGTGTTCAAAAGAGAATGAATCTTTTATTACACAAAAAAGAAGTAGACAACATGGTTTGAGGGCACCATCCGAAGGAATGGGGGATGTACACAGAATGAGGCATGTATGTATGCACTAACCGCAGTTTATTGATCCTCTTTCTCGAAAACACGAACATTATGGGCGGCCTTACGCAAGTTCGCTGTAGTTGGTATCCTGTACTAGAAGAAGAAGACACTGTTACAAATGTTGGGATTGTTGTATCTTACCAATACGATACGATTTTGCATTAGCCAACAAAAAACCCCGGTTAGTAATTCTCGAAACTGAATAATTAATGTGGCGCTACCCTGGCGTAGTCATTTCATTCTTCAAACTTCAATATGTATTCTTTATCGTGAATGGTTTTTAGCACTATACACCAGACCATGCACAGTCCAATCTTCAAAGTTCAAATCGGGTTCAGCCGTAGTCTCGTCATTGGTTCTCATGCAATGTACAGACTGACGCGAGCACTCAAGGTGAAGTCATTTGAAAGACCGGTCTAGAACTGTGTTGCGTACCCTTTGGGACAGTGATCAGTGCATGTTTTGTCCAATCTGTTGTTCCAGTAGCCTGTGCTCAGCGAGTACCACGGGATTGGAGCGCACCAGGTCTATTCGACAGACCCGGAGTCCAGAATCGAATGCATGGTTGGAATGACATTGATTGATTTTTGCGCTTCGATCAGTTTGAATCACTGGTTCCGCATATCAGTGAACGGTAGCGTGAATAGGAAAGACAGCAATCCCGAGGTTACTCATACTTCACAAAGTTCTACTAGGGTACTAATCATCATCATTATCTTCATCGTCAGTTCAGTTCAGATTTTCAAAGAACCATTACTCTGGAGAGTTCAAATGTACTGGGTTGCAAGACTAATGACTAGATGCACGAACGCCACTGTTTGCGACACACAACCACATCACTCAGCGTCTCGGGGTCTTCATCATGGGGGATTTGTTCTGAAAAGTTATCGCTCAGTTCGCTATTTTCCGTTGATTGGCACTATGTTAAACAATTTTTTAGATGCGATGGAAATGTTTGTGATAACCGACAAAGAACAGTAGACAGCTCTTTCGTCCTGTTTGGGACTCGTCAGAAGTGCGTACTATTTGTTTTTCTGTCAGGACTCGAACGCATTACCTCGAGGGGAATTAATGATCTCCCAAGGAGTAAAACACACCCAAGACCATCAAGAGTGCCTGGTGCCTGTGAACAATCGAATGAGAATCCAAGCTTGATGCTCAAAATGTTTTAGATGTATTGAATAGGTCGATTTTCTGTTGAATATTAACTTAACTGCAAACGTTTGGTTGGCCCACTTCTCTTTTTTGAATGACTTGGTTATTACTTTTCGCAAAGATATTCGCATATTAATTTCGGAAGAGGAGAGTCAACGGTGTTACTCAGTAGTTCGGGTGCACTTTAAGGTGCTGTCTTATCACCCTATCTTTTTGCGACTTATATCAGTGACCTACCCATCACTGCCGCAGTATATGTCCGTATCTAACCGATCAGAGGGAGCAGTATATAACACAAACATTCCCAACCTCGTTACGTATTCCACTTTATCCGGTCTTATTAAGAATAAGGCCGAAAAATACCTTAGATGCATTTCTGCTGTAAACCGTTCCCCATCTCTCTCCGATAATGTATAGATTCAGGGAAAACCGATGAGCAGAGTCCGCTATGTAAAGTACTTAGGTGTCACATTTGAAAGTAACCTTCACTGGTCTTTACATACCTTAACTGCTGCTCGCAAATTATAAGGTTTCTCCTTTCAGATAGGATTATTGAGTCACTTCTGTTCTGATTTGTTGGTGGTAGGAGCTTTTACTCAACAGTTTGCTCTCTCTTTACCCCTTTACTACTCTCCTGTGACTTCCTCTGGTTTACTGAAAGCCGATTTCAAGTTACTGAGGCGTGGCCTCTCAGTGAGCAGCCGTACTTCCCAAGTTCCATTTTCTGTTCTGATGGGCAATATCTGTGATGCTCGTACTGATGTGTGCTTGAAGCTGGCTGACAATATTCTATGTGATTGAACATCGATTGCACATTGGTCTGTGCGCATGCAAATCCCATCCCCTCCAGCTTGTATGTCACTCGCCAAAGCTTCACTATAATACAATACAAAGACGTTAGTCTAATGGGAATTCTTATTTTAACATTATTGATAATTTATTCAATCATTGTGTTACAAATCCTTATAATTTCACGGGAACAAGTGTACTTGAAATCAGTAACCATTTCTGAGAAAACTGATTTACCTCACTGTTTGTTGCCGTTCAATGAGAACACTCCGTGTAGTTACCCAGTTTGTTTCATTTATCTTACATTATTGGACGATTGTGATACACTAAAATATTTTCTTTCTGATCAAATTGAGTTTCATCAGCTTTGTCACATATATTCACGCTTTAGGAATGGACAATAAGTTATCGCGTGTCCATTTCATAACAAAGCTGGTGGATTCAATGCCAAAGAGACCCGAAAAAGTCCTGAAGAACAAAGGCAAACCAATCGACTATTAGTTTACACAAAATTTGCATCTAAATTATTATCAATGTTAATTTGTTGTACATGAAAAGCATTTGATTCTCTCTACTTAGCTCTTAACTCATTATGGTCTAGGTCAACCACTACTGATGATATGGGAGTCTCCGCTGCATTCTGAACTATTCCATCTGCTGAGTATAAACGAATCAGGAGAATCAATAATACATAGACTCACCAAGGCTTGTTTATTATTATTTGGAAAAGAAATTTACTTGATTATATATTCTGTTGCCTATACGAGCCCTCAAGTTTTACACAGGGACCCGTTGCTTCAGTTTCGATTAGACCTGTACTGACTGTGTTTGTGTTTTCGTCAAACATGGTACTTGGAGGAGGTTGGTGGTCTTTTTGGTATTTCATCCGAGTATATTAACGAGTTTATTATATGTTTTTCCTGCTCCCCACAGATCAGTGAACGAATCCGCCATATAACGTCTACCATGACAATTTCGTCTGACCATTGGGAACTGGAGGTGTTGTTCCAGTGCAAACTAGATCTATTGCGCATTGTATGCTCACACGAGCGTTACCTCACTTTAACCGGGGTGATACCATCTGGGCCGTCGGTTCTACTCGACCGAGTCGTGGTGGTGGTGGAGAACGGCCAAGTGAAGTGTGTCGAACGGGAGAACTTTCCTCGCATCATTCACGAAGAGGAATCCGATCCTTTCGGATATCAGAATGTGCTGACCCTGATTCTGGCGTCCGAATTGGAGGCATGCATGAGTTTGAAGTGAGACATATGATGTATTTCTTCTTTTTGGGGGGGTGGGTGGGGGGCATTAGTTTTTCACTGTTGTGATTCAAATTGTCGTTAGGCGACAGGTTTGTTAGATAGCACGGGAAACAGCGCAAACGAAGTGTCATCAAGCTTCATTTATCCGAGTTGGATTATTGCCTCGAATGTTGTGCTTCTACTATTATCCCATTCGATTTCACTCGCAATGTAACCCTCGCTCTCTCTCTCTCTCTCTCTCGCTCCATCTGTCTACGCTATTCGGGTTCTGAATGTGGGTTTCATTCTCTTTGATAGTGCGTTCCCGCCGCACACATATACACTGGTGTAGCGCATTCAGCGCATTTGCGACCGAGTTCTGATGGCCGCTGACAAAGATCAACGGACAACTGACTCTGTTCGTCCCTGTTGGGATGAATTCGCANCTGGATTGATTACCTGTTTATCCGATTTCATTGGTACTAGGTTTCTCAGCTACTCCGAGATTATCGAAACATGTCACTCGCTAGCCCATTAACGAAGTCGGTCACAGTGATCATCAATCATCCTTATCATCACGGAATCAACAATGATCTCTTTTTTAGTGATTTCTTCTTCTTACTGGGTTATTTTGTGCTTATCGCTTGTTTGTTTTTCGGACGAGGGGAGGGCGTATTTACAATTGGGAAATGCAAAAGAAATTCTCGTGTTTATTTGAATTCATTCAAGGTTACTCCTGTTTGTCCAACTTGGCCACGTATCATTGGTACAGCCCGGTCTGTAAAATTCCTTCCGAAACCGTCCAACTAAATCTAAATTGACTACTTGGGGAGTGGGAGGAGGTTGATGATCTCATCTCCTCGTACCTGACGGTGGCTGGCGGTTTTTTGATCCTTTTGATCTCAGACTTCATTCGTTCTGTCGTTCACCACCTATTCGTGTGCAACCAAAGATTGCATGCTTTTTTGTTTTCTACCGTTGCACTCATTTCGAATCATCAGTTCAGTGCCATTACGAAAACAGGATAATGGTTGAACACCGTGGTGTTCGCACCATTACACGAATATTATGGGACGATCAAACAATCAGTGCTGATGTTAGGCGCAAAGTTTTAGGTAACCGTGGTCGCCCACTGGACCAGATGGTTAACCTCCATAGATTACGTTGGCTGGGGTATGTGTTTTACATGTCACCAAATAGGTTGCCACGATGCGGCTTGTTTGCGGAAACAGGTACTGGGTAGAAAATATCAAAGGTAGTCAACCCAAGACCTGACACGAGGATACGAAACCCTTACTGTAGAGTACTCGGTCATAAAGGTCGCGTTACGTTTCCTAGATGAGGACCTTAGGATCATTGTAATCAACAGCTAGAGACACCAAGTGATGAGCGTCGTAAACAGTGACACTTCTTGCATCTTCTCAATTTCTTTGCAACCCTAGACCACTGAAATCGTCCATTTTATCTTCCATCCTACTTTCAGCTTTCCAATCTTTTTTGTACCGCTTCATCCGAATGGGCAGCCAGAAGACAGCAACCAAACCGGCGCACAAAAGTACATGGTGAATGATGGTTGTACAAACTGAAACTGAAACGTCAGAGAATGCACTGAATAACACTGATTTGAATCGATATTTACCCTCAAATCTTTAAGCCGTTACCCTTTGGTTCCCTATAATATGATGATAATATATACAAATCAAGATATACCATACGATATGTTCTATAACAATATAATATACATAATAGATCGTGTTAGGCGTATTTCTCGTCTGCCCGTTCTTCCGAAAGTCTCATTTTGATAGTCTACCTTTTGTGTACGTCAACGTTGCCTCAGTGCAATAGTTGCACTGGCCACCTCATCTTTTCCGAATACGGTCGGTAATTTGCGTCCACGGCTCCACCCCTACATCAGCTCACACAAACTGCAAAATCAGGCCACGTCTTTACTATGGGATCTCCTACATCAACACGAACTGAACGCGCGGTCAGACAGTCCCACTGGCGGCGAAACTGTCCCTGTGCGGGGCACATTTAACGGACTTGACAAAATTGCCATGCTGTATGTGGTTCTTTTGGACATTGGATGTCAGCTGGTTACAAAGGTAGTCGAGACGTGGAAAACAATGCTTACGGAGCAGCGAAATGCCAAATTCCCGGTCGCATACAAGGATAGCAATTCTTTGGATGACATTTCAGATAAGAACAGTCTGACAGTGTCGGACAGCACTCTACAGAAAAGTCTCGGCAAACGAAGACGAACGGTAAATTTATTTTCTGCTTTTGTCAGCTACACTTTAACTCGAAATTACTTATGAACAGTATTGTATGTTTACTCAGTATCTTGTTGCATTTTTTGGCGTTTTTACTTCTGATTTCATTTACATGCAAAATTACAAGTCTGTTCATTTTGTCAACCGTGTACTCGCGTAACCTGAGTTCAAATTTCGCTCTTATTGAAGCTCATTAAGGGCGTTTATCCATTGGTCCCACACTTCTTGTGTGCAACGTATTTCTCTGTGTGTGTGTGTGTGTGTTTATGTGATTCCTCTGTGTTATCCAGCTCTAACCGGGGCTGATCGCAATTTTACATCTCAAGTTTTGTTCATATGGCATTCTCAACCACCTAGAATTAGATTCTCTGCCCCGATTAGGAACGAAACCAGATTATCTTTCATTTTTGGAACTGTACACGAAAACCTCCAACCAGGGCCGCTCTTCATATTTGTTTTTCACTATTTTGAACGTAGCGAATTTCGCCTGTCTTCTGACTCACTCCCATGTGTCACGCCAGTGTACCTCTTTCTTCCAGCGCTTTGTTGCCTAGCCTTAGATCGTGAGATTTTAAGGCACAACCCGCTTCGCGGTGGCTCACACCGACGAAGAAATTTTTCTATGGAAATCCTGATCAAAATCTTTGACACAACAGTCTGAACCACAAGGCAGTGGGGCGTAGGTCCAACGCGGGGGCATGACCGAAGCACCCGCGTGCGAGCTGCTACAGATCTGTCACACGTGGCCTTCGGGTTTCGGTTCAGTGTTTTGTTCGCTGGTGCGTTCAGTGTCGGCGCGCTGTTTGGGATCGAACTTTAGACTCATGCACCCAATGAGAGGTGGGGCATGGATAGGGCAGCACATTTTTGGCCTTTTAGAGGGGGAGGGGGAGGGGTTGGCAGTTGTCCGTCAAAGTACGAAGACTTCTCCAATCGATGGTTGGAAATACTTGGTGTTATAATCGGTGGCGTCAATCTCCATGTAACCTTAGGTTACTTAAATTCTTTATTCTCATCTCGACATTGAGTAGTTCAACATTCCAATTTTTCCTCTATCATTTCGTCCAAATGAGCAGCCCAAAGACAGCAAACAAAACCGCCACATGAAAGTGCATGGTTATTAGTTTTCAAAACTAAAATTAGTCGTAGTGTCGTGAGGTACTGCTCACATTTGTGAGTAGTAGGTAGCATAGTTGGTGATTTATTTCGACGATTAAAAATCAACATCACCGAGGGCAAATTGCTGCATCTCCAAGAATAACTATCGGTTGCCACATTCATTACCGGTTGTGCGACCAGGAACTGCGATGTTATGTTTCTGATGAGATTTTTGTGTTGTGTGCTAAATAAGTGATATCCCATCTGTAATCCCCAATAAACAACTATCCTCGATCAACCACCACCTTTTGTATTTATAATAGTAGTTATGTAACTCGCAGGTGTTACTTTTTGTAAGTTAGTGTCTCACGGAACTGTTTTTTGTTGTTGTTGTTGTTGTTGTTTAACTGGTCGCTAAAAAGTGACGCATTTTACTCTTGATACCTGTCACTGTAACAGGAAAATGTGACTCCGTGCATTTGGTCCATTCAGGTACCCAAAATTCACAAGGCCAGTATGCCCAGTAGTAATAGTAGTAGTCGGTTTCCTTCCACGCTACTCGAAGTTGGTCTGTCCGAGTCTGGCAAATCGACTTTCGTGATGTTGCCAGATGATTATTCGGCCGATGGAAATCCCGGACGCCTAACGGAACCGATTCAGGAGTATGTGTGCGACACGGATGCAATGCGAAAATGGCTGCTCTCGTTGCTTTGGATTATGCGTTACGCACCGGAAGCGATTATTCGTGGTTGGCTTCGTCAACTCACCCCGGAATCACGAATGCAATTGGTCTGCATACTGCATGTGATCGTGAATGTGTTCGAGTACCAGGTGAGTACGATTCCCCCTCCTCCTCTTTCTGTTCAGCATAAATTCACTGAATGATTTACTATCGCATGGAATACAATTGACCCGTATCGTTCACGTGGTGGACAGTGTGCTTGTGACACATGATACGCATATCACCTGATCGTCTGTCCTGTGGTGCAATAGTTGCCAACGCGGATAGCAGTGGATTGAAGGAGTGTGAGGACCTGACATAAGAAAGCCTTGAACAGCCGATGTGTTCAGGTAGATTGAGTGAGCTTTCTAGGTTGGGGACCTAATGACCAGTTTTTGTTTTTCGATGGTTATAGTCAATGACTGATGTGGCTGAGTGTTCTCGTTAGAGGATGTATCTGGATCCTGTATTTTCCTCTTGCTATCACTCGGTGGTAAATCTCTCATGCTCATTGCTTCATTGGTCAAAGTCAAAGTTTCATTATGGGAAATACTTAAAAGCAGTTACCTTCCTAGTCCCATAGGGTTTAGCACAGATGAATCGATTCACGGTTTATAAAAATTAGACGAATGTCATAATTTCTCCTTGTTTTGTGCACTGCTATGGATGTTGAAATTTAAGACTCGTCAAAGCTTCATATAGTTTGTGCTTGAAGGAATCCATTGTGGGCGCAGAAATAAAGTTTGGTCGTAGAGAATTCCAAGTAGTGCACACTGAAGGCGATTGAATGAAGCCGACATTCTAGTCGACTTATTTGTAGCACTAATTCGAATGAGTGCCCCCTCAGGCGAATGTTGAAGGACAAGGCAAAGAGTGAACGATATGGGTGATCTGGGTTCTATATTATTTTATACACCAAAATCCAGTCCCTTCGAATTCGGCGATACTGTATGGAGTAAAGTTGTAGTGATTCCAGTCTTTCCGCATAACTATTGAAATGCAATCCATTGACCATTTTGGTGGCCATTCTTTGTGGACGTTCCAGAATCTTCCGATCGCGTTGCAACCATGGATTCCACGCTTGAATTGCATACTCCATGTGGGGTCGACTGTAGGCTGATAACAACTGTGGAAACACCATAGGTTAAAATTTGCCAAATATTCGCTTTATCAAACCAATATGTCCTACAGCGGTGGACGACACCTTGGAGCAGTTTGACGAACAAGTTAAGTCGTCTTGGGCAATGGTACCGAGATCCTTCTCTTTCGAGGCATACGGAATTTGTTGTTCTCCCAGGAGATACTGAAACCGAGTTTTGTGGAGAAAGGGATACGACGGTACATTTTGATGCATTAAATTCCATGTCGTTTTCGATCGGCCATTGATAAGCAGCATTAAGTGTTCTCCGAAGTGCGATTGAGTCCTCTGGTTTCTTTACTGTTTTCCATATTTTTGCATCGTCTGCATACATTAACATTTCTGGCTTCAGAATGCCAGTTAGGTTGTTTACGAAAACTAGAAAAATTTGAGGGCCAAGCACGAATCCCTGTGGAACTCCTCGTGTTACGCTGATAGGATCGGAAAGGGATCCATGGTGCGTTGTGGAAGAAACTCTTCTATCCAGCCCAGGAGAAGTCCCCGAATTCCATAGTTGTTTAGTTACCTCATCAGTATTTTGTGGTCCACTTTGTCGAATGCTTTGAATGAGTCAAGGTACACGACGTCCACCGCATCGCCGTGATCAGCTTCTTTTGTCCACTCTTCTCCGGGCAGAAGCAGCAGTTTAGTGGTACTCGAACGCTTGCGACGAAACCCATGTTGAGCAGGGGATGATACGTTGTATCTTTCCAAGTGGCTCATCACATTTTCTTCAACAATAGATTCCATGACTTTGGATAATACAGGGAGGAGAGAGAACGGAGTAGTAGTTATCTGGGTTGATCGAATAAGGAACCAAGAGGAAATGCACAAAACTCTAATGGCTTGTACAAGTAAAACGGAAGGTGACCTTTCCTAATTCCCACTTATTCTCGTTTATTCCAATCCCCGAAATTAAACAATCATTCATTAATTGGGTTCCGTGGGCACCATGAAAAGCAGTACCTGATCACGATGCCTCTAGCTCTACCGAGCTTATCGCTAAATGCCTTACTTTGTCTGCCGAATGCTGTTCGGCTTGATCGAGCTTGGTTCCCCAACTCGTTCATCTTGATAATATATGAAACTTGCTGCTACACCTGACCAGTATTACTCCTCAACTGCCTGTTTCAGAGTGATCAATCAATCAATGTGTGCTCTTTACGGGAGCGTGTTAATGACTGTTGCTTATCATTTCTTCGAAATGAAAGTCCCCTCCGACGCACACTTACGATTGCATTATCTCATCTCGGGGATAGCTCAGTACAATATGAGGAAAGTGATCTTGTGCCTGAGTTGGACACCGAAAAAAAATATACACTGTAAGTTATGAGCACCCTATTCAGGCGATCAGTTTCAACCCCGGATGCGGACTAGTACACAAAGAGAGCCAAAGATTAAATGGATTCTTTCGGGTAATACATCGAGATTATCACAATCAATGCCAACCTAACAAGTTACAATACTGTTTTCAGTTTATTCAACAATTCACTGAGATAACCTTCTCCAATAACTTCAAGGTGATAATAAAAAGATGAATCAAAAAGTACCGAAACGAAGTAAGAATTGCGGAAATCGATTGATTACTCATTAGCCAGTAAAAGTGACAATTAGAGTAACTGTCAAACAGCTTGTCTTAAGTAGATAATATTCTTTTTGTTTGTTTTTCAACTACCTCGACTTAGTCTTCCCTTGAGTAGAGATTCATTATCTTCCCGGGGCGTAAAACATTTCTCCTGATGTTTTATCAGATCCAGATCCTATTTGGAAAAAAACGACACGGATACAGCTTAATCTGTTCAAATCGCAGCGGCTATCTAACACATTGATGTATATCCTGACGAAGCGAACCTAGGGAATGGGGAGGTCGGAGAGGGAGGGAGAGAGTAAATGAGAAGCGGGCGTCGGCCAAGTAGTCTAGGTCACAATCACCCATAAAGTGATTTCCGGGATTCTGTCCTCACCACCACCACCACCAGTTGGGTATTGTGTAGTGTTTCACTGCTCTCTTTTTTGGTTTCGCTCGGGTTCCTCGTTTTCCCAATTGGCCATCGTATGGCCCTCCACTGCTGTAGTTCTAAGAATAACCCTCAGATCCCGATGGCTAGTAGTTTATCACTCGTTTTCTGTACCACATTGACTGTGGTGTGTTTCGATCGTTCCACTTCCGTCTAGCAATTGTCCGTTTGATAGATCACACTATGCATTTCTTCTTTCGGGTAAAAATTCGCGCCTCCCCGTTTCTCCGTCTCTCATGCTACCTGCCTATCGCTTTGGGCAGATTATGTCACATCTTATCTGATTGAAGTCAAGTTCACATAACAAGCCCGCGGGTTATTCCACTTGGGATATATATATATATATATATATATATATATATATATATATATGTCTGCAATGTTGTTCCCCTGAACGGCATCCAGGGTGGAGTCCGCTGAAGTTTTTCAGTGTTTTAAACGGTAGAACCGATTTATCCGTTAGTATAATGGCACTTGATAGCCTCAATCAGCTTACTTGCATTAGCGCACCTGACGAGTTCCTTCCTGATCGGATAGGCATGATACGGATCTGAGTGGCAGTGAAGCAATCTACTATCAGTGTTTAATAACCTCGGCGGTGATCGAGTTTGAACCACGAAGATGTACCAATGACAGCAACACAAATGGTTAAATAAATCCGTATTTAGGTGAGAAAAATGGAGAATTTGACCATTTATAGAATTTCATTGTGTACAGACCGAATGAAGCTTGAGCTTAAAAGTCAAGAAGCATTATCCGAATTAAAATACTACACATAGTCTATGGTAAAATGTATAACTATGGAACATATTGGGATGCTGAACTCTCGGAATTACTGTGTTGCAATTGGTAATTAAATCAAGAGCATTAATAAAGGATTTCAGGGGATATCAGGTTCAAACAGCTGTTCAGTGCTTCCCAGTTTTTCACGTTACATTACATTTTTTCTGTACATACTGAAATCCACCATAGAATCGGATCCAGTTCCTCTCTCTTGTCACCAGTAATAGTCACGTTGCAATGTGTCCAACCGAACCCAGTGCTGATATGCACGATTTATGTACGATAGCTGCATTAGACTCGCTAAGATGTTTTTTGCTATATCGTGTATTTGTCGAGATTAAGAAAATTTTAGTAACCTCGGTGGGATTCGAATCCGCGCATGGACGCCGCCTACGCTTTCGCACAGCGCATGCTCTACCAGCTGAGCAGGACTCCTGTGAATTCTAAGGAAAACCTGTCGGGGAAGTCAGCCTACATGCTAACTGGTGGATGCCATATGCCTCTGTCAGTTGTATGGGTAATTCGAATGTGTAAAGATCAGTGCTATCGGTGTGAACTCGTAGCTCAGCTGGTAGACCGTGCGCTGTACAAAAGCGTAGGCGACGTCCATGCGTGAGTTCGAATCCGACCGAGGCCGCAGAGCGCTTCACAATCTCCACATAAATAGTTCAATCTACCAAACAACAATATCGTGTACAAGCAAAATGAAAAACGGTCGGATCAGCTCTGTCCGGTGACCGAGTGGATAGTATGCTGGCGTTCTACCCGTGCAGTTCCGAGTTCGATCCTCAGTTTGGGCCGATGGATTCACGCACTGTGCTAATGAGACCCAACTAGGTTGAAACAGCTTGCTAGCCTTTCGCCGCCTACAACGAAATGTCCTGTAGACAATCATTAGTTTTGTGGCACTGTACGTTCTTTCCACGTCGTGTGTTAAAGGACGTGATATCTTGGTTGTCACATCATCTCCTTTGAAAGGTAGTTCGATGTAGACGTCTTTCTGCTTGACCAGTAGGGAAATGGACCCGGAGTTGACCGGACTGCTGTGCTTCTGAGTAAATGCAGGAGGATGACTATGATCCAGTAAACCATGGGTAACACTGTCTAGAGCATCTGGCAGGACTTGCGAACTTCATAGACAGCGAATCCTATAAAGTAGAACACGCTCCAGACCATGTTTGTATCCCACATAGTAGAAACTTCTGAACTGCGGATATTGTCCTGTCCACATAGGCTTTGGATACGTAAATGCTGATAGCTTCCTGTCTGATAATCGATTGAGTAGCAAGTCAAGAAATGGAATTTTTGGAGTCTAATTGGTGATTAGTATCAATTCTGCGCAAGCATGTTCTCGTGTGTTGATGCAATTGATTAAGATGTCCTGTCGGAAGACAAGTCAACCGTGATCAGAAACCGGCATGGCCAATTAAATGAACCGCAAGCGTAACGCATTTCATTGCATTTCGAGGCTGTTGCATTGTGTGCATTCAACTCGCTAGGTCATATACGTGTGTGTGTGTGTGTGTGAGAGAGAGAGAGTGTGTGTATGTATGTGTTAGTCATCTCAGAGAAGTCAAATCAAGTAACTCGTGGTTAACCCAATTATCCGATAAACCTGACCATAAGCTAATTGTTTCTCGATATCGTTCAGAAACACTCACTCACTCACACACACACACACACACAGAGAGAGAGAGAGAACTCTCTAGCTCTTCCGTTGCTCGGATGATTGTTTCGGCAGGGAGGAGGTAGACAATAGACAAGACTGTACGATCGCAAACCTGTATGGGATTGATAGCATCAACCAGTTGTGAGTCACACATGCGTTACAGATTCCTGCACATAAGATTCTGTATTACTCCTCGGGGAAACATATAATTTAGTTATTTGGCCTGAGCAATCAAGGATAGTATCGCTGCCCTACATCATTCAAGGCTAGTGCCAACCGAATTGTCATTGATTGCAACACTGAGGATATCTTTACTTTGTGTTTGCTGTGTTGCAGATGACCTGGAATGCGTGGGTTGGAGTGACAGTGTTTTTGTTCGAATAATTGTTGCTTTATTGAAGATCTAAGTCGTTTCGGAACATCCGATGACGTAACTTGTCGTCCATTGCTTTCTTAAGCCACACCGGGATTTGTTTGGCCATCCGGTGATGTAACTGCCACTCTATGCTGCCTATGTAGATGGCCGAGCATCCCCACTTGAATTGGTAAATACAATTTGATTTGGCGGAGGGAGGCAAGGGTTCTTTCACCGATGTCGTTGGTATCCGGGTGGTAACGAAGACAATGACTGGGTCAACTGTGTAATAGACCCTCTTGACGGTATAGTTCAACCGCCTTTGTATACTAACATCAAAAAGGTTTTCACTTTTGGGATAGTTATTGAGTTGTCGACTTTTAGTGTTACTTTTCTATGTTTGGCGATGAATGCACCTTGATATTCATTTGCTTGCAATTCTTCTTTCAAAACGTCACTTTCATCGTTTAAACATCACCCAATGGCCCAAAACATCCCGTTGTGGCTTAAGAAAGCAATGAACGTCAAGTTTGTAACTGTTACGTCATCCAATGATCAGAAAAGACTTCAATGACGCAACCCTTATTCGAAAAAAACTGTATTAGTTCAATCCACGCTTTCCAGGTCATCTACAGCACAGCAAACACAGAGTTACTGAAATTTGCCGAGGCTCTAGTCATTCATGCTCTCGAATTCGATATTCTCCTGCATGGCGAAACTCCGCAAAAGACCGAAACTCTGTAAACGTGTTTTTCTAAATTGCTCCCCATCCCACCCCACCAAAAAACCCAAATTCTCTTCACAGAAAACCAATGTTGTATCGCAGTGTTGCAGTTCAGCATCAAAATGTCCTCGGACTACTTTACCTGCCCCCCTCCCCACCCCCTCCGATTAACGGGATTACTCCATCGGTGGGGCTCCAACATCACTTTATTCAGCACTACTGACTAATCGAAATTAGATTCGTCGAGCGGAAAAAAACTGGCATGGTGCATATTATCCCTAAAGCCTGTTTTTCATAGAGAAAGAGAGAGAGAGTACATCGCGGCATCTGTCCTGTTACGCATCGTTAGTGATGCGCATATTCCGCTAGTCTGCGGATGTGCGAAACCGATCGTGCAGAACTCTCGGTACTGCTGTTAGGGAGAGAGAAACTTGGCCGCTAGGGGAAGTGGATGAGCACAGAGCACGCACGACCCGAACACCGACCATTGTCTACACCGTATTGCATTATAGTCTCTGTCCG